GTATGCAGGTCACGCTGTCATCGTCCAGTGTAAAAAAAAAAAATAATAATATGGGTCAGATCGAATAAGCTGTCAAAATATGGTCTCCTCATATTGGACCGCCAGTTTTTGACTTCAAGGCACGCAGAGAGACTTGATAGGAGCAGATTATGGTGGGTATTGAATTGCTTGTAGGGTGACAACAATGCACAGTCAACGTTTGTGACAAAACAATGTTGAATTAAACTGTAATAATTTAACGCTCAAAAGTAATTAATATTAAAAGTTCAGTCCGTACCTCAAAGAAAACACGTCAAAATTTACATCGCGTTTATTTATACGTATGCAAATAAAACATTTTTCGTTGCTAACACCTGATATAAAAGAATTACGGTTGGTCGGTACTGCCAACATAACATGAATGTAAAAGAAATAAGAATCTGATACATAGTCCGTTAATATAAATGGATGTTGTCAAGTTTTAGTAGACGATTCAATACATCTATTTCCGTCATGCTCACCGGTGAGAGAATATTTCAAACTCTGGTTGCTAATAAGGCACGTAAAATTCGTGGTTTTAGGTTAGGTTGTTTTCATAATTCATTCCTGTTAAAAATTCAGTTTACCTCTCGCTATAATACGGGGATCGACGCAGCTCATACTGTCCGCAGACAGTTTTATGAATGCGCCAGGCGCCATGTTTCTTTTCTAGACGCAGACTGTCAGAGAAAGTTTAGAAAATCGAATAGCCAAAGAAACTTTAGTGACAGTTTCGCAGGAAATACTACGTTACTTCTCTTTTGAGTTTCTTGGCCTTTTTATTTGTAAAGAATATGCACTATGATGTTTTATAATATCACAAAATTCAACTTCACGAGTGTCAACTATTTTAGAGATGCTGAAAGTGACGAATGTTTCAGGAAACAAAGAAAAGAAAAATCATGACGTAGTTGCCAGTTTAGGAAATATATCAACATCATGTAAAGAAATGAATTAGATACATGCTGGACTCAAATATATTTCAATTAATAAAATGTAATGTCAAAAATTGTTTGTTTCCGACTAATTTATGAAAGCGAAAACTTTCTTGTAATGTGTCTGAGTTATAAACGAGGAACGTATGAACAGTTACTGAATACAACCGAAATATAATCAAAAGATAATATATTTTTACATTGTAATTTATTTAATTGTGAATTTTAATAACAAGCAACTTAGATAATTGACAAAAAAAATTGGTTATTTAATCGGACTGTTTCAAAATCCTAGTCGAAACATAATTTAAACACTGAATTAACCAAAAGTCTATTCTATGCCGAACTATTTTTGAATTGTGTGAGGTTCAATTTTTTTTTTTAAAATTGTGGCCTCTCTTTTTATTTATCCAGAGTACACACAGGTCAGGACTACCTCTTCAGATGCTGGCTTTACGTGTCCCCCTTACAATAGTAAGGCTTTCTTGGTTAGAAATTAGGTCAGACAAAGGTTTTCGAAGACCACGCTGTTTGATGTACCACCCAGTCTCATACACGCCGCTGTGTCATGACGGGTCAGAGAAAGGGATGAAAATGAGGGTGGATATTGAGGGCAAATACTTGACGAAGAGCAGTGAACGATTACACGGTTGCTGAGATGTAAGATATTGTTTCCTGAGAAAACAGGAGAAAGGAGTTCAGCGTTTTGTAGTTTTGTTCTGTTCTACTTTTTTCGCGTGAATACTGTCAGGATCATTTGCTAGGCATTGCAGAAATGTACTGGAAGGAAATAGAGCGTAGAAATTACAACATAGAGGCTGAGGGAAATGAATCCAGATACGGTTCCATTATCCAAAATATTTGCTCATGAAAGCCATACTTGAATGTACATCACAGACTATTTGGTTTAACGTTTCAGTTCCTACTTCAATGAAAGCAAATCACGTCTTCATCACTCCGAAACTTTACAGCGACTCAAGTCTAATAAACTCCACAGAATAAAGTCCTCATTGAGAAACAGTCGCATAGATACTCAAGATATTCACTGCCCTGTACGTGAAAGTTAAGTTCATGACCCTATTTACAAAATATGACAAGTGGTCCCTACCCCGAGACAGATACACCCAGTCCACATCCTGATATTATTTCTACATCTAAAAGTAAAGCTGTCCCACTACACGCCATGTAGGCGCTTGGGGGGAGTGGAGGTATAGCTCCTCTCTTCCTTGACCTCGGCACTAGATGGGGGTGAGTGGTCAGCATCACGCCCCGGCCGGCTTTACCCCCCGGGAAAGGACCCCGGTACCCATTGTAGAGGAGGCTGGGTGGGTCCCAGAGCCGGTCTGGACGCAGAGGCCAGAGGAAAAATCCTCTGCCCCCGTCGGGGATCGAACCCCAGTCGTCCAGCCCGTAGCTAGTCACTATACTGACTGAGATATCCCGGCTCTATTTCTACATCTACTTAAATATAACTCTTCCATCTATGTCTAGATCTTTCTAGTTGACTCGTGTTGATCAAACGACCATTCTTGTGGAAGAATGAAGATACCCACCAAAACTGTGTTAATTTTTAATTTAACCAGGCTAAAACGTAAATTAAGACTTCACAACGCATCAGTCGTCTAAACTGCGAAAATCATTAAATGGAGACAACGCGAATAACGTGGACTAATGTCGATCATCCGTCAAAGTTCGGAAGATGTTACCGTCAGATTATAATAAATGTCCTACGTATGGAATAGTATCTTAGGGACACATTATCTATTCAAACTGACGGAATAACATAACCTCAGTTCAGCTAGAACAGTGTCCTACATAAATATTATCTTCCTTCCTTCTACCCTGCGTAAAGAGAGTTTCAAGAGTAGAAGTTATGAAGAAATACCAGGTGGAATTTTTAAAATGTGAAATGAATAATAAAATTTTATAACATCGTCTCAATATTCTTCAGGTTACTTAAAATGACACTACTGGAGGCCAGATGGGAATAAGGTGGCAACTGAACCAGCAGACGATTGTTCTTCGGAAATATGGACTAAGATCATCACTCAGGAACAGACTTTATCGAACGTAAGTGGATCATATCAATGGTTATGAGGGTGGGGTTTGTTAGTGACCGGATGTCGTATGTAATAGTCAGGGGTCGCTGGTGTCGTAGGCATTCAAGAAATGTGTATGGTTCATGTAATAAAGGAGGGTGGAATGACAAATAAAATTAGTAAGGAAAGATATGGTAGAGTAGGAAGGGATTAATTTAATACGAACAGTTAGAAAGATATTTAAGAAACAAATGAAGGACAGGTTAATAGAAACAGAAAATAAGGAATGTGGGCGGAAAGAAAGAATATAAGAAAATAAAAAAAAAAGAAACAAAATGAAACAGAGAGCTTCTGTCGTCCTGAACTTGTTGGTACACGAGAAATAAGCTTGTTAGCGACCAGAATTAATCCGATTTGCAGATATCTAAGCCAGAAGTGCAGTGGGACAGACAGACACTTGAGATAAAAGTTACAACACAGCCGTGATTGGACAGGTGCGCGTATAAGGGAAGAATGCAAGTAGGTCACTGGGTTAATAGACGTCTTCTTTCGACAAATTACGGGTCAGTGCGTCCGAAAACGGGACACGGGAGGAGAAAGCTTCGGGTAGAAGCATTTCCTGGCCCTAAACACTAAGATTTCACTGCAACACGCTGAATATCTTACTTTGTTACAGATAACTTAGCTTAACTACTAAAAGTATCGAATTGGTATTCAGAATATATCCCATTACAATTAGACTTAATAATTCATTGATTTTACTATAGGCTGGGAAGACAGAGACAATTCGGCTTCATGCCGGAAAATACTGCCTCAATCAGCCCTGATGATGGAGGCAGCGAGGACATCCGAAAAGTTGGCAAAGTACGAGCCTACACCGGATAATTTTTAATAAAAGTCCACAATTACAAATTTTATAAAAATCCCTTAGGCGGTTGCATGAGCACAGATGGACGGACAGACGGACGAAGCTATTAAAATAGGTTTTTGTGTTTCTGGGTTATATTTACTGCAACGGCGACTTAAATTATTAGGGGTCACAAAATATTTGGTTCCTGAAAAAGAAAATTCGATCGTCACAGACGAGTATTGCGAGTAAAACCACGCCATGCGACATCGGGATGTATCGTCATGTGGAACGATGTCACCCACAACTCAGCTGGATGTCACGTAGACGGCGGTAATTGCGAAAGCGTGTTTCCTATCCGCACGCCGATTGCCAACCTCGTCCTGATTGATGGTTCTGCTTGCCGTTTTACTCAAAGACTTATTGTAGTGACAACGTTTTTGTAACCTGTTTAAAAAACTGTTTTGTCCAATTAAAGTTAAGTAGTTACCAAACAAATGTCTTGTCATGTTAAAAGTCGTAAGTCACCCGCCAGACGTCAACTGACAGCCAAATGCCAGGAATAAAATACCTTCTTATCTAATAGAGAGTGCACTACTTAACTAACTAGCTTCCTTACAAACTAACTACAAGAATTGAAAGATAACGCATTGACTGAATAATGTACTAAGTAATTACTTAATTACCCATGCAAACAAATTGCAGTCCTTAAAAGTTTAATTACAATGTTGACTAGTATATTATACTTATCTTCCACATTAATTTCACTTCCTTCTCAATTTTTTTTGAAGTCAGATGATAAATACACATAATTACACGACAAGATTTGAAGAAAAAATGGAATAGGAGTTATTATATAATTAAAATTTCATAACACTTTATGTTTTACTAACTTAGGCGTAGGTAAGACGAAAGTATTAAGAGTATTTTAAGTAAATGATATAATAAGGTGTTGATTGGATTAATCTGGCTTAAGATATGGACAAGCGGCAGGCTTTTATGAACACGGCAATGAACCTTCTGGTTCTACAAGAGACGCAAAAGAAATTTCACCACTATCAGCTTATCGACACAGACGGAGGAAATTAGTTAGGTAAACAAGGAATAAACGAAAAAAGTACACGATTGTTACCATAGAAACCGCGTAACAACCTACTGGTCTGCTGTAGAAGACACATGATGTACGTTACGTAACGCTATTAAGGAATTCTCATCCCAGACATCTTCAACTCTGAGGATGTCACAAAGATCTGTGTGTGTGTGTGTGTTCCAGCAGCGTAGACCGGCTGGAAACTGTGACGAGGGTGTAATCAAGTTTGTGGCCACGGTTTCTAGCCTTCAAGACAGATCGATCGTTGTTCTCGTATGTTTCAACAAGATTCAGTTTGTCGGATTTGATGTTCTGAAAACGGCTGTCGTCTGGGATGATGTGCCGTGCAGTCTGGTAGATATTTACCGACTTACTACCTCCATCATCAGGACAGGATAAGTCACAAGAGACTTATCGTCCTGATGATAGAGGCAGTCAATACCTCCGAAGTTTCTATAGATTTCTATGAGATTACACGGCACAGAATCCTAAAGGACAGCAGTATTTATCTGCGAGTCCCGTTCGGATATCACTGTATATAACAGGAAAGTTGCTTAGTTATACATTTAAGAATGTTTTGTAAGTCGTTAAAGAGTATTTATTGGGACGCGGTAAGATGATTTGTGAATAATGTACTGGAAATAATGTAAGATTAAGTAATTTAAGGTGCTTCCGCAACGCCAATGTAAGATTAAGTAATTTAAGGCTAAGTAATTTAAGGTGCTTCCGCAACGCCTACTTGCAGGAACAGCGAAAGTCTTCAAACTAGCGGGTCACCGACCGACGTTAAAACAGAAGTAACACCTGGATTATGTCAGATGCGTTACCGCTGTGCAAACCTATTCGGTCACACTACAAGAAACATCAGAACGATGGATAGCTCTCAAAAACAGAACTTCACTTTAACGTGTCCTGCGAGGACCGCATCGATTTGTTAATACAACGTTCTATTTGCTGATTTAAACTCTTCTTTAGGTGTTTGATCGTGAAGCAGACAAATTTTATGGTTGACGAAAGATTTGTGTAACAACTGGTAGATGAAAGGAGTTGATGCATGACTGTAATGTCAGCTGTTTTAAAGTTTCTTTACCTCAATTGGTTTGTTTACATAAAGTTTGGAACATGAAACACTTCTTTGTTGTTTGACTAAACCCTCTCTTGTATTCCTTTAAAGAAAAGTTATTACTATATGCACGTATTTTCATGTGGTATACAAGGTCGAAGGTTTACATTACAGGGTAAACCTTGTGGCTGACTTTGACAGACTGCAGTCCTCAATGTGTTCCAACACTCGAAACGATTTCACATTCTGTTCCTGTAACAACCTCCAGAGCGTACGTAGGTGTGCGAGAATTTTTCTTCATTTGTTTCCAACTACATGTCACATCCAAATAAGGAATAAAAATAATATACGTAAATCACATCCAGAAATATCGTAGAAGTTCCATCGCGGATCCAAATTTGGACAACAAGAATAGATCTGAGTTCAGAAACATTACAATTATTATTTTACGACTATTTTATGGCTAAGAAAATTCGTATGGAGACCAGATTTGAATCTCAGAACGCAAAAAATTAATAATTTCTCTTATCACACCAAAGTCCACGAGAGTTAGTACGAAACTCGCAAAAAAAATGGCGAGGGAAATATAGTATTTTGGAGTTGTAAATGAGTGTTGTTAGGACACAGCTTAAATTAAAAGATGTGCTATACTACTTAAAAGTATTTGTATATGCAGAACTAATGAGGAATGCGTCGTAGAAAACAAAGAAAATCAGCGAAAATATTTAATTTCGTCAAAGTCGAACAAAGCTGAACACACAGAGGCCTGTTAACTACAAGCTAAATCTTATATCATTAATATTTAATAATTCAGCCCGTACCGCGAAGAAAACACAACGCGTCACCATTTCAAAGATCAACTGGTTAACGCTGTTTAAGGAAATCATCGCTGTTTATTCTGAGAATCATAGTTCGTCTGATTAATATTAAAGAATTCAGCCCGTACCGCGAAGAAAACACAACGCGTCACCATTTCAAAGATCAACTGGTTAACGCTGTTTAAGGAAATCATCGCTGTTTATTCTGAGAATCATAGTTCGTCTGATTAATATTAAAGAATTCAGCCCGTACCGCGAAGAAAACACAACGCGTCACCATTTCAAAGATCAACTGGTTAACGCTGTTTAAGGAAATCATCGCTGTTTATTCTGAGAATCATAGTTCGTCTGATTAATATTAAAGAATTCAGCCCGTACCGCGAAGAAAACACAACGCGTCACCATTTCAAAGATCAACTGGTTAACGCTGTTTAAGGAAATAATCGCTGTTTACTCTGAGAATAGTCTGAAACACATAATTACACTATACACACAAAAAAGTACAGATAGACTGATTCTTCATCCAGAGAATTGTTAATCGGATTAATGGCCGGGAATCATTCGTGCGAAATTATAAAATATTTACCTAGAAGTTCCTTATTTTGCTTTATCCTTCAGCGTATTTGGTTACAATAGCATTCGAACGTGACAAATTACGCCAAGCTCAACAACATACATGCGTTGGATTTCAGTCTCATGCTCATGGATCGTATATGCGTGTAGGCTACGTCAAGGATTGCTGTAACGAGCAATTGAATCCGAATGTCATTGCATTATTTCGTCATTATCAGCTGTAGAATCGCGCTCATGAGCGGTGGAACGTGAAGATAACAGATTTTAACGTATAAAATTAAATAGCCTGACCTGCGTAGTGACACACTGAAGTCTGTAGTGTTAACAAATTACACACCAACCCATATTCACGTTACACTGTTGACAAAGGTAAGCTTTTAATAAATCTTAGTTTTAATGTAAGTTATAAATGTAATTTGTAGTGTATTTTATTTACGTTTTCAAATATAACATGGTTGCTAATTACAGAATTGTATTTGCGTTTTCTATTACTCAATTCGGAATCTATTGTCTTCGCATCTGATATCTAAGAACTTAATTATTCGTGTTTTTTCCGTCTAATCACAATTGTATATAAATAAAATTTTTACATAAGATATTAAAATATCATTTACATATTTGGTACAAATATGTAAATGATAGACACTAAGATTCTGAACTGTGTGATTAAAAGCATTTCTTAGATTTGATATGCTGATCTTTTCAAATGTAATTTTAGTTTCAACTTTCTGGATGGTTTATCCCGGAACTGGAACTTCGCCAAGTATGTTCCGGATTCCATTAACATCTATGTGGTACAGGATTATCCTTGGGCAACGTCTACCTCTTAATTCTTTAGAGCTTAGCCTTAGCTATACGCAAGCGCCATATATTTAAAAATAAAATTACTCTGAATTTTGTCCGTGAAATATAGTAATGTATCTCGTATGAATCTCAGCATAAACAGCGATTATTTCCTTAAACAGCGTTAACCAGTTGATCTTTGTAATGGTGAAGAGTTGTGTTTTCTTCGCGGTACGGACTGAATTCTTAAATATTATTTAGATACCTACTCAGTGTATCCATGGATTTCCTATGATTCTCACAATATAAACAGCGATTATTTCCTTAAACAGCGTTAACCAGTTGATCTTTGTAATGGTGAAGAGAAGTGTTTTCTTCGCGGTACGAACTGAATTCTTAAATGCTATTTAGACGAACTTCGGCTTCGAGGGTTAATTAATTATCGGATTAAATATCTATTATTTCCTTAAACAGCGTTAACCAGTTGATCTTTGTAATGGTGAAGAGAAGTGTTTTCTTCGCGGTACGAACTGAATTCTTAAATGCTATTTAGACGAACTTCGGCTTCGAGGGTTAATTAATTATCGGATTAAATATCTATTATTTCCTTAAACAGCGTTAACCAGTTGATCTTTGTAATGGTGAAGAGAAGTGTTTTCTTCGCGGTACGAACTGAATTCTTAAATGCTATTTAGACGAACTTCGGCTTCGAGGGTTAATTAATTATCGGATTAAATATCTATTATTTCCTTAAACAGCGTTAACCAGTTGATCTTTGTAATGGTGAAGAGAAGTGTTTTCTTCGCGGTACGAACTGAATTCTTAAATGCTATTTAGACGAACTTCGGCTTCGAGGGTTAATTAATTATCGGATTAAATATCTATTATTTCCTTAAACAGCGTTAACCAGTTGATCTTTGTAATGGTGAAGAGAAGTGTTTTCTTCGCGGTACGAACTGAATTCTTAAATGCTATTTAGACGAACTTCGGCTTCGAGGGTTAATTAATTATCGGATTAAATATCTATTATTTCCTTAAACAGCGTTAACCAGTTGATCTTTGTAATGGTGAAGTGTAGTGTTTTCTTCGCGGTACGGACTGAACAGTCCAACTTGACTTCAAGATTTCACTGCTATTAAAAGTGACATCAGTGTTTGGCAATCAGACAAAAGAAACGATCCATTATAACGCCATGTTTTCTGCACTCTCTGCAAAGGTTCGTATAAATAAATCAAACCATAACTCCAAAATAGCTGTAACACATCGTTTTATCACTACAGCTAGGAATCCATCTCAGTACAGAAGGCTTATAAAAATACAAAATTTTATTTGTATTTCTTGAAACAATCTCTTTTCTCTTAGCTTTATTGAACACTAATATTAACCTTAACAATTATTGTGTCAATAAATGAACCTACACATTTTCGACTTTGAAGCTTCCGATGTGCTGTTACTAAAACGTGTTTTATTAGAATTCAATGGTAATTTTCTTTAATTTCGGTAGAAACAACAGATAATCTTTTACGTCACGCAGTACATGTGTATCTACCTGCTTTCTGACACAGATTTCACAACGTAGATTTGCATTACACGAGTTGTCAAGAGTAAAGCGAAGATTTCGCACAGTCGCTGATTTAATATTTTTCGACATAAAATATATATTAAATAATTTAGAATAACTTTGTATAGGGCATATATGCATGTATTAAAAATTGGATGGCCACGCGTTTTAGAAAAACTGGGTAATTGGTTTAAATGCTAGTATGGGACACACACACACACTGGTGCCACAATCTTTACAACATTTGCAGGAACATGAAAAAATTTGATTAGAAGTTCATAAATGTGGTGACAAAGAACACGATATATCCTATTACTTGAAACGAAGAAGAATAAGAATAAGAACAAAAAGATGATTGTGAAAAGACATGTTACGTTCCTGTAGCTTCTTTTTTTTTTTAAAAAAAAACATATTGAACTATGAATTACGTGCAATCGTGACGAGAAGTTTGTTCTAATAAAAATTCAGTAAAAATAAAATGTATTTCGGAAATAGCTTCTGCACTATGTACCTCAGGGGTACACAGAAGTAAATACCCTATAAAATGGTGAATATATGGAATAATAATTCAATTCAATTCAATTCAATTCATTTATTAGAGTGCTTGGTAACAGCCAAAAAGACCAATAACAGCCAAGTACTAAAAATAACAATACAAAAACAAACAATAAACTAAATATATAAATGTACAAATAATTCAATTCATTTATTATTAATAATAATAATAATTTGCAAGGAATTTCACGTCAATTTGTGACTCAAATAACTACAGCTTTCGTGTCCTTTGCAACTCCCAAACTAACCATAACATGACATGACAACGGAACTGTTTTATCAAAGCCATTGCATCAATGTGGAATGTCTTACAACTTTCCGTTTTACGCAAGATCTTAGTAAAAAAAAATCTGTTCTGAGCTTATAAAAAAAACTGTTTGAACCGCGTTCTGTGTAGTAAAATTATCAAATGGGACAATTTATTTAAGATTAATTGTAACTGAAAATTATTCCTCGCACGAATTTGCCTACAAAGTAAGGTTGTTACCGTCATGTTATAAACAGCTAGGAAAAATACCAGTCAATAATGATCTTATAAAGTTTCAAGCAGTGAGATTTTATATTTCAGCATTGTTACCTCCTTTCTTACACGATTTTTGAATTTTTTAACAGGCATATTTAACTTTATAGTCATATAAATGTCAAGAATTCTTTTGACCAGCTAAACGTCATATTTATTAACTTCTCAAGAAGAACTTTGTTCCATAGACAACGTTAATTCTGTTCATAGTCTGTACATTATCATCTCGCAATGTACCTGTAATATATTACAGACAATTACAATTGTCGCGAAGTGGGTTACAATAAATTACTCAGACTTACAAGCTGTAAACATTGCACATTCAGGCTTCTTCCTGTTTATAGTGAGAACATTAAAATCCGTGTTTCCCGCTGATAAGAAAATTTAAACTACTCTATGCTCATTTCCTTATCACCGGACTATCTATTTGTCGTAACGGTGGGAAAAAAAATCAATATGGCGGCTGAATAAGTACGCGGCATCTTTAATTACGTCTGTCAGTATCGGGATCTGACGTCTACATAAAAACGTGAAGACATTTTAACTCTCTACTACGATGGTACGGTTTGTTACTGACTGAAATCTTAAATATTATTGTTTTCCTGTCTTTTTGTTGCAGATTCATAAATCTTCGCTTCATTTTGGACCTACCTTAGCCCAGCCATACCATGGCGTTCACTTCACACTTCATTTTGTGCTCTGTGTTATTTATCTTTTCGTTAGACAAGTCGTGGACATTTGATTCAGGTAATAATGCAGTCAGCCATATCATGGGGAAATACGACGCAAATGTTAGCCAAACCACCGAAATTCTAATTCTATAAATGTAGCTGAATATAAATTTGGAACTCAGAAAAATGAAATTATAGTAAGCATTTCTGAAATCTTAACCGCAGTCAATTTGTATATACAAATTTAAATATCAAAGATACATACGTCACTGGGTACGATGGTTAAAATATATAAAAAAAGACAATATTCTGAATTACCCTGAAATAGTTTGCATTACATCCTAGTCCAGTCATTTTTAGTCACAAGAATAAATATGTTACGTCAAGAAACACGCAAATGAAATGCAAAACTTGCAGATACTTGTTACACTATTGCGTTTACAGTGCTGATTGACCTATCAAAGTACCTGCAGCCAAACCACGTCATGGACAGTGACTTCTTCAGTGATCCATCGTCGTGTTATAGGCCCTGTGAAGATGGGGCCCCTCCCAAGACATGCTACTACAAGTGGACAGTCAATAATTACAAGACAATGGGGCCGTGAGTAGAATAGAAAACACACAAAAAGTCGCTGTTAAATTATTAGAGATTCTACTTAGATTTCGCGAGGTCGCTGGTTTTAAAATCTCAGCCCAGATGCCAGATATTCTGATACGTTCTCCAAGAAAATGCTAAAACAATACTTTTAAATAGGCCTCGACCACTACCGTGCAAAAGAGTCCTTCCTGAATGGAGGTCATCCTCCATCGTCTTACCAATTTCTGTCTCCTTGTTCCAAATGATTCTCTTCAACGACTTAAATGTTTATCCTTCCCTTAGGGCGCCATATTTATAGGATATAAACAAATATAAATACATTTTACTACACTCGGCAGAAGATATATGTCAGGATGGTTAAACCGAACTGTAAGAACTATAGACCCTATAAAACTAAATGGTAACTGTATGTACCACATGCATTAAACACTGAATAACTGCATTTTGCACACATATCTGTGTTTTTTGTGTTTCGTATGATTTTTCAGAATAAACATCGATTATTTCCTTAAACAGCGTTAACCAGTTGATCTTTGTAATGGTGAAGTGCCGTGTTTTCTTCGCGGTACGGACTGAATTCTTAAGTTTCAGTTGAAAGAGCTTCGGCTCCAAAGGTTAATTAGCGTTTTAGTCGTATTATTTCCTTAAACAAGGTTAACCAGTTGATCTTTGTAATGGTGAAGTGCCGTGTTTTCTTCGCGGTACGGACTGAATTCTTAAGTTTCAGTTGAAAGAGCTTCGGCTCCAAAGGTTAATTAGCGTTTTAGTCGTATTATTTCCTTAAACAAGGTTAACCAGTTGATCTTTGTAATGGTGAAGTGCCGTGTTTTCTTCGCGGTACGGACTGAATTCTTAATTTTCATTTGAAAAAGCTTCGGCTCCAAAGGTTAATTAGCGTTTTAGTCGTATTATTTCCTTAAACAAGGTTAACCAGTTGATCTTTGTAATGGTGAAGTGCCGTGTTTTCTTCGCGGTACGGACTGAATTCTTAATTTTCATTTGAAAAAGCTTCGGCTCCAAAGGTTAATTAGCGTTTTAGTCGTATTATTTCCTTAAACAAGGTTAACCAGTTGATCTTTGTAATGGTGAAGTGCCGTGTTTTCTTCGCGGTACGGACTGAATTCTTAATTTTCATTTGAAAAAGCTTCGGCTCCAAAGGTTAATTAGCGTTTTAGTCGTATTATTTCCTTAAACAAGGTTAATCAGTTGATCTTTGTAATGGTGAAGAGAAGTGTTTTCTTTGCGGTACGGACTGAATTAATAAATGTTATTTAAAGGAGCTTCGTGCTTCAAAAGGTTATTATATACATTAGGATAGTCTAGTCAAAATGTAGACTCTGTATAAAGCATGTATGTTAATGACACTTTTTACAGAACTTGCAGAAACTGCCCGAATAACGCGACAGACTGTTTCCGGCAATACTGCATTACGGCTGACGGGTACGAACGTGGGATTACTGCAGTAAATCAGCAACTCCCGGGACCATCGATACAGGTAAAAGTAATTCAATATTAAAAAAAATCGACAAGAGTCATCTGTAGTTTAGTGAGGAAATATGGATAACATCTGTTTGCTTCGACATTAAAATAAATTTCATTTGTGACAGGCGTGCTATGGAGACAGAATTATTGTGGATGTAATGAATAGTCTGATGGGACAGTCTACAACCATCCACTGGCACGGCACACGTCAGATAGGCTCACCACACATGGATGGGGTACCTATGATAACGCAGTGCCCAATTCTCGAAATGACCACATTTCGATATGATTTCAGAGCTACCACCTCCGGAACGTTATATTGGCATTCACACGATGGTGAGACACATTCACGCTTGCACGTTCTGTTATCAGAGCTTTATAAGTAGTCTCTAAATACGTGCGAAATTGATTCAACATTCCAGTTTCATTTTGGACACTTATTTGTTTGAGATATTCACGACAGTTCAAGAGTTGGCTATACTGATGTTGCAGGTTATTAAGATTAATGGTGACCGCAGAGATCGAACCCGGTACTTCTTGAACGGGTATAATATTAAAAAGGAGCTTCGTGCTTCAAAAGGTTATTATATACATTAGGATAGTCTAGTCAAAATGTAGACTCTGTATAAAGCATGTATGTTAATGACACTTTTTACAGAACTTGCAGAAACTGCCCGAATAACGCGACAGACTGTTTCCGGCAATACTGCATTACGGCTGACGGGTACGAACGTGGGATTACTGCAGTAAATCAGCAACTCCCGGGACCATCGATACAGGTAAAAGTAATTCAATATTAAAAAAATCGACAAGAGTCATCTGTAGTTTAGTGAGGAAATATGGATAACATCTGTTTGCTTCGACATTAAAATAAATTTCATTTGTGACAGGCGTGCTATGGAGACAGAATTATTGTGGATGTAATGAATAGTCTGATGGGACAGTCTACAACCATCCACTGGCACGGCACACGTCAGATAGGCTCACCACACATGGATGGGGTACCTATGATAACGCAGTGCCCAATTCTCGAAATGACCACATTTCGATATGATTTCAGAGCTACCACCTCCGGAACGTTATATTGGCATTCACACGATGGTGAGACACATTCACGCTTGCACGTTCTGTTATCAGAGCTTTATAAGTAGTCTCTAAATACGTGCGAAATTGATTCAACATTCCAGTTTCATTTTGGACACTTATTTGTTTGAGATATTCACGACAGTTCAAGAGTTGGCTATACTGATGTTGCAGGTTATTAAGATTAATGTTGAATGCAGAGATCGAACCCGGGACTTCTTGAACGGGTATAATATTAAAAAAAAATCTCAAAAATTCTCAGTATAATGAGAATTAATGATCTGTAGATGTCAGTAGAGGTAAATTCCGAAACCATGCTTATATCAAATGTAGCTCGCGAAGTAGACATTTTACAACATAACATTCGAAGTGATATCTGAAATCTCCATCCCAAAACGAATCTCGATCACCCAGTACAACCTTCAGCGCCTCTACTTAAAAGTGTGATTACACTTTTAGAATATTGCGGGTATAAATAAATAGTTTATTTTTGTAATAAATACAAATAAACGCAAAGTATAATTTTAGTATCTCATTTTTTCTTCATATTTATCAGTCCCTCGTATTTGTTTAAAAACATTATTTTCTTTGCTAAGGAAAGGAAAATGCATCATAGGTACTTGAAAATAGAATGCAAAGCTAAACATTTTGTCCCAATAAAGACAGGAGCTTAGCGGGAAATAAATATATAATAAAAAACACAAAATTTTTATTCGAAAATTTCTTCCTCGTGTTGCTACGGTAACCATGTGTATAATATCGGAGAGGGTGGTTGTAGATATGAACTTTAAGCTTACAGAATTATGGTACGTACAGGAAACAGATCATCTGTAAGGCAAATGGGGATATTTGAGGATAATATTAAAAATGAAAACGCCCTGCAGTTGACTATTCAGTCTGATGTGCTGACATAGTCGTTAAATACATTATCTGTATAATAGGCAAGTGTTTGTTAGTTGGTTGGTTATAATTTGCCATTAAGGATTTTGGACCTTATGGGATAATCTTTATAACTAAGTGTGTTTATATGTTTATTACTTCAGACGTTCCTATCATTCTCGAAGGGAAATTTATTAAAAAAATAAATGAATAAATAAATTTACTCTTAATTAGATGCCTCTGTCAGCGACAACAAGGCTTCAGGTACCAGAGCAGAGTTACTGTCAGTCATTTAGCTTGTCAGTAGCGTAAGTGTCTGGCATTCTCCAGCCATTATCTGACCACTATCCGCCACTGCGCAGGTCTCCAGAAGCAAGACGGGGTACAGGGGGCCATGGTAATTCGTACACCCACGTCTCTGGACCCAAACAGTCACCTGTATGATTTCGATTTGGCGTCACACGTCATTTTCATCAGTGACTGGATGCAGTCACCGGCTGGAAACCATTTCCCTGGTCTTAGAACTCACGACACGTTCCAGAAACCCGACTCCATATTATTAAATGGCAGAGGACGGAGAACCACGGTAAGTTCCGGCAGACCCTCGCCGATTACAGTCTCCGTACTTCAAATGCGTGCGCTCTTACTAAAAGTAAATTCTTTTCAGCTTGTTCTGGTATTTTCTCGAGGTTTCACTATGTCTTTTGTCAAATTTGTTCACATCTTTTTGTATTTAATTTTTACTCCTGATTGATATTAAACATATGTAAGGTCTACAGTTGATACGACGATGTTAAATAGTTTCTGCAATCAGAAATACTTAACAAAAGCTAGATAGCACTACTGTATCAGAATATAGGTTAACGTCAACTTTTCTACACCTATTTGGTACCGCGGACAACTCCCCAAAATTTTCTCACACATTTTCATTAAATATAATATAAATTAACCGAGTTGTAAACAGAAAATTTTGTCGTGATTTAAAATTATAATCGTTTTTAAACATATTCACTCCCATGTTCGGACATTTCTAGTGTTGCTGTTATTTCAGACTGACGAATTTTCTTCGGAAAATCTGTACAACGTCTTCCGAGTGACGCATGGTAAGAAGTACCGATTTCGACTCGTTGGTGGGATCTGTACCTCGTGTCCTTACAAGTTCAGCGTGGGACATCACACATTGCTCGTCATCGCAGTGGACGGAAATCCAGTCGAACCCGTTCGCGTCAACTCGATAGATATCTACCCTGGTAAACCTCGATTATCACTGATTAATAGTAATTGTATGACACTTCTAAAATACATGAATCGTTTTATGTAATTACTTAAGGTTTTATTTGCAAATAAGTATTCCAATACATGGCAGAAAAAGTCAATATATTTATCCACTCGAAAATGATCAAAAATAGTTATCGGAACACGTAAAAGGATTTAATTAATATATCTATAAAAATTAGTTGTGTTTGACGGTGAAATAAAACCCTTGTTGACTGCGAGCTTGTGGAAGGTGACGCCATGTGGGCCTGTAAGTGCTTACCGACGTTTCGGAAGAGAGTAATTCCCAAATATTACATTTATAGTGGGAAAAATAATAAACAGTTTTTGACTACCGTCATGTTGTCTATAATGCAATAGAACTACATTTGTTAGTTTCAAAATGGATGCTATTTTAATTATGTATCAGAACATCAAAACTCTGGTACATAATTTACCAGAATTTTATGCTAGTAAATTGTAGGTTTTTTTTTAATGGAAATAAAATAATTATGCACAGAATTATTCTTTTGTTTTGTATTAAGTCGAATTTTGTTTTTTCGTGGGATATTTCACTTTAAATACCTTTGAAATTCCAGAATTAGTCATAATGTTTCAGGAGAAAGGTATGATTTCGTTCTGGACGCTTCAGAACACGTGATAAGTTCCTGGATACATGTAAAAACCATCGGAAATTGTGACGATATTCAGATCTACGCTCTAGGGCTGCTTAGGTACAACGGGGACATGCTTATGATGCCCATCAACCCGGGATACGCGGGTTATCCCAGCGGTAAGGTAAGTAGGACTGTCCTAGATAGTGCAAAAGTCAACATACACTTTAAATAAAAACGCGTATTAATATATTTCTTTTTCCCCTTACAATTTTGAATTTAATTTAATTATTTTTCATGTCAACCATTATAAATATCTTTACAACATACATAAATATTCTTTAAGTATATTTAAAATGGCCGCGTTCCACGCTGATGCGGATTTTTCTTTGCCTCGGATGTCCTATCGAGTGCCCCGTGTTTTTACGATGTGTTTGTATCATTACACAGGTTATGAATGCTTACAATGGGGCCTGTGACAATACAGACCAGGGTGTGTGCATTGTTCACCTGGTGGGATTGGATCCTGTGCCTTACAGAATCACATCCTGCGAACCTGACTTTTCCTTCAAACTGGTTTTCGGATTCCAAACTTTCTCTCTCGATGATCTATCACGGCCGCGAAATTACGTCCGCTACTTCGGTGAGTGTGCTTAATGATGCAATGTTCTTGTGTGTTATATTACGCCATGCGCTATTTTGTACGTCATCTGTCTCCCTGGTTGCAATTATTGTGGAGACCCTGATTTTGACCTTTCGACCTGCAGTTACAGAATTCACGTAATAGAAACATTATTGAAAAAGCTCAGTCTCGCATGAAACCCGAAGGTCAGAAGAGCCCGCAACTGGATCGTATCATGAGCTAGATTAATCCAGTCTCTACTAATGGAATCTTAAATAAACTTAAGTGTACTCTAATCTTCTTGCCACAGAGCCATTAAGCAACGCGTACTTAGCCGGCGTGGTGAATAACATAAGCTTCGAGATGCCACCGTCGCCGCTCCTGACCCAAGCAGATGACGTCCTGAGAAGCGTTCTGTGTCCCACAGGACCTGGCAGAACGCCGGGATGCCCCGGTTCCCAGGACTACTGTGAATGCGTTCACGTGATTAAGATACCCCTAGGATCGGTCGTCCAGTTTCTTCTCATCGATAACGGTAATTGAGACCAACGAATAGTAAACGAACTATTAACTAATTAATTAATTATAGTTTTTACGTCAGCTATTAATAAACTCATTCATCGACCTGATGATAGCAATAAGCAGCTCTGAAACTTCGGTAAATTTCTACCACGCTATGCGGCGTAGCCTAACTTCTCTAAGGACAGTCATCTTCATACTCGCCGCTATGATAACTTAAAAATCTCACGCTGTATTGACTTGGAATTACCCTGTAGTTACTTTTAATCACCCTGTAGTTTCTTTTAATCGCCTTTTAGTTACTTTTAATCACCTTTTAGTTACTTTTAATCACCTTTTAGTTACTTTTAATCACTCTGTAATTACTTTTAATCACCCTGTAGTTTATTTTAATCACCTTTTACTTACGTTTAATCACCTTTTAGTTACTTTTAATCACCTTTTAGTTACTTTTAATCACCTTTTAGTTACTTTTAATCACCTTTTAGTTACTTTTAATCACCTTTTAGTTACTTTTAATCACCTTTTAGTTACTTTTAATCATCCTGTAGTTACTTTCAATCACCCTGTATTTCACTTCAACAGGTACTGGAAGTATCAACCACCCGTTTCACATGCACGGATATTCCTTCAATGTCATTGCAATGGGGAGATTTAAGAGAGGAGAGGACGATACAAGTATAATTAGAGATTTGCGCCGTGGGGCCTTAAAACATTCAAACTTCCCAGTGTACAAGGACACAATAGCTGTACCCAGTATGGGATATACAGTGATAAGGATCCTGGCCGATAACCCAGGTAAGAGATGATAAATATTATAAAATGCTGAAACAAAGTCTTTACCTTAGTCTACTTTAGCACAAACTTCTATCATCATTGAACAATTACATCGGATTACTTCAGTGTTACAATTATACAATTTATTATTCTATAGATCGCTCTGCTGATGATAAAACTCGTGAAGTGGCGTGAAAAAACACCTCTTGGAAACGTCGGTGTATACCTTTCCAAGCTTGTTATTCTTGTGACGCGGTGTACAGAATAATCACAAAGGCTCGCGGTATTGTGTTTTAGGTTTCTGGTTCTTCCACTGTCACGTGTTGTACCACGCCGAAACCGGGATGGCTGTCGTACTTCAAGTGGGAGAAGACAGACAAATACCTAGGCCCCCAGCGGGGTTCCCAAAATGTGGGGACTTTGTTCCTCCCGTATACAGCGACAATACACAACACCGGAAAACCTCTGTTTATAACACTGGTTAAACAATTCATGTAAAGGGGTGGGTTTATCATTAACCTATCCAAAACAATTTTAAATTAAAATATACATAACTACTCCTTCACCTACTGATTTGTGTCGGTATACAACTTTTCATCCTGAATAGAAGTGCCTGAGAAGAATTTTTCGACCTGGAACGGATTAAGAAATATTAGGATGGAGGAAACTGTTCTATTAGCAGCTTCATAATTTGTAATACACAACAGATATTACTGTAATGATATGACGTAAGGGGATGGGTAGAACATGAAGCATGAAAATTCCAACGAAATCAGATCTGGAAATCACGAACACAAAATGTTAACAATTTACAATTACATAAAATCATGTTGTGTATAGAATTAATTGCAGAATAAACTGTGAATGCCATCTTGTTGCTAAAAATATTATATTGAACAAGTGTGGGAGAAGAATGAATTTCTGCTGTAGGAACTGAGTAAAATATAGGCCTGTGCACTATTTTGTATGACAAACAGAATCACGTCTATCAGCTAAGTATGTGTGAATTATTTCCACATTGGAAGATTATTTGTCTTCTCGGTTGTAACCTCTGAAACGTCGGCAGACTTCTACCAGACTATACAGCGCTACAGCCCAGAAGACGGTCACCTTCGAAATCACCGCCGTGAAAACCTCAAATCCAGATTTTCTCTTCGCTTGTCCTAACAGAGTTTTCGTAATTAGGTGAGGATACTGACAGTGAATTAGAAATGCCAGGAATTTTGTGGTTTCCACTGAAAACTGGAGGAGTGGAAGAATCGAAAGAAGATTACCTGGCAACCCAATTACGTCTCAGTGCAACAGTGATTTGGCTTCATCACCAATGCTGTTTGGTCCCAGAAGACAATTAGACCAGTTCGGAAATCTTTTGCAATCGTTAGACGTATATTTTGTATAATATTCAGGACCAACATTAAGAAATATAATTATTTCTTAAGAATAAAATATCTTAGGGCGCCATATTAAATTCATTCATGTGGGAGAATATCATTAGAATGAATGCATTTTGTTTTAATCTTCACAACGATAAGTTTATTCAGATTTTTTTTAAAATTTCAGTTCTGTAAAATATGTTTGCTAATAAGAAAATCTGAACCAGTTGAGGTTTCCTTTCGTCACCTGTTACAGAATTACTGATCCACTAACCCTCGTATCCTATGACTGATCTTAAAAGTAACTTCACGCCTTAAGACGCTAGAATTCAGCTCCTTTCATGTTTACGACTACTTCAAAATTTTTAATCTACGACGCCTGAAACGCTTACAGACAGACTCAGTATTCACTTGTTTACATCTAAAATTTGTCAGCTTACACTCCTTAATTTCAATAAGTAAACACGGGATTAAAATATGACCTTAATTCTATGAAGTGCGAAGTATTTAAAAATTCGGCCCGTACCGCAGAGAAAACACAACACTTCACCGTTGAATAAATCAATACGCTTTTGCTGTTAAAATAAACAATCGATTACAAAACAAATTAAATAAACTCTGTAGGCAAATGCAGATTTAATTAAGGTTAAAGCACGTGGTAAATATAATTACCATCATCAGAATCCTTCAGATAGTCGGAATGAAGATTTAGTTGACAGGGAATATTACTTAATTCCACAACCACAATCCATTTATCGGTGTCCCAGGGGAACTGATACAATTTTCCCCACATTCCTGGAATATTATGTATTCTTACTTCTACGGTGTGACGTTCTGGACGGTATAAACTTTTATTTTATTAAATAAACGTCTCCATCATAAGGTCACAGAGATATAAATCTATTTCCGTCCACAGATGACAGAGCGTTGGGTCATAGACAGTAGCAGGTACGTCTTTAGATACACAGTGAAGTTTTTCAGTCTCTGAATTAAAATATTACTAAATTTTAACGCTAGCATGATTTAAGTCGATTGACGGCAATAGCAAATGTTTTTAGCACGCGTTATACGGCGTAAGAGATGTTTCCAGACGGTCTGTAGCTGCTTCACCCACTGACCGCACTCTTAAACAAACAACAGAATGATGAACATGGCTTCCACCATCAAGATGTTACGTGTCGATGGTAATTATCTCTTCCGTTTATATAAAATAGCTCTCGGGAAGCAACACGGACGCTTTTAAAATATCCCCACCATAACCAAACAAGTGGTTAGTGTCATTGCCCCGTCTCGCTCGCGAGAATTTGAGTTTTTCTTAAAAAAGAAAAGAGGACAGTTTGTTCAACTTCTCATGGCACTCAGTTTAAATAAATAAACTACAATGGATATTGGCCTACAGTTTATTGCTGCTGGAACAGGCGTCACTTGTTTCAACTTCCGTTCTTTCCAGCTTCATTGCACCGACAGAATGTTCTTTCTTTACCAATAATTTTTGCGAAAAATGAAGCTTTGATTAACAACTGAAACAGTAGATGAGATAAATAATACAAAAAAAAATAATAAGCTTTTAATTTTGTACCATTTTAAATTAAATGCGCGTAGCAACGGAAAGGCAAATTACATTTAAACTTTTGAAGAACAACGGACAAGAGACAAAGAAGAGAAATTGAGGGGGAGGGGGGGGGTAAATTTTGATTTGCGGTCGCGAAGGTCCCCAGGCAGTGCTCGCTCGTCTTTCTGGTAGACATACGTTCAGTAAAGTCAAGGCGTTTGAAGTGGGAAATGCGTGATTAAAAGTCGACCAAGGAGAGAATTAATTTGAACAGGGAGTTTTGAAGCCGTAGCTCGTCTAAATGGAATATAATATTTCAGTCCGTACCGCGAAGAAAACACAACTCTTCACCATTACAAAGATCAATTAGTTAACGCTGTTTAAGTAAGTAATCGCTGTTGACATACGAAACCCATTAAAACAAAATGCAGAATTACTGATAGTTAAAGTGGTTTATATACAGAACCGTTTGCCTCTCCAGTGACTGGAGGTGGGTGGGCAGAAAATGTTTAAATTTAGCGTGAAATGTATACAAAATTTTAGTCTAAAGACCTGAAATTAAGAGACCGCTTGGTAGATCTAGGTATAAATAGGAGGATAATATTAAAATAGATCTTAAAGACAAATATTATAAAACGTGAACTGGATTAATCTGGCTCAGGACAGTAGCGAGCTCTTCTGAACACGGAAATTAAATTTGATGTTCTATACAAAGATGGAAATTTCTACGCGTGCTTTTCAAGAAGGAGTGTTCTTTAAATTAACTTATAATTCACTGTTTCGCCTCTGTCAGTGGGTGAGCATAGGATCGTTACTTCACTTCCGTACTGGTCGTCAAACCTGACAGTGAGTGCATTCTCGCCGTGTCTTGGCCTTTGACCCCAGAAATAAACTCTTGATTGTCAGTAGCAAGGAAGTGATGACGTATGTTGTCATGCATAATGCAACAAGTCCCTCTCAATTCTGCCTTGAATTCCGTACCACGCTTGACTTTGCAATTCATGTTCATGTAAGCCACAAACGGTCTGATTACGTTATTATATTCACTGTTGCTTAAATTAATGGCAGAACAATTTCGACTAAACAGCCTCGAATGTAAATTTATTCGTGAAAAATTCAGCGTTGAATACGAGAGTTTACAAAGATCCGCTTCAAAACCATACATTTGTACAATACATCGTCACAGTGTACGTTCTGGTACACCATAAAACAGTAAAAATAAGCTTCATTTTACTTACATTACGGAGCACATGAAGGGAGTGGCTGCGTTGAACAACGTCAGATTACCTCTCGGCCCGTTCTGATAACGCACTATAAGCTTTCTCTGAGGCCACTTCTATTTGCTTTTCTTATGTACGACTCCAATAACAAAAACACGAACGTCGAAAACAGTCAAAGTCTTCTAGGTTATGTCAGCGAATAATCGCCCGTTAGAATGCTCTTCTTATTATAATTGTCGTCCAGTATCGATTTAAAATTTCTCGATCACACAGACAGCTTTATTTTGTGAACAATTGACGATCGATTTATCGAACATGTAAAACAAGTTGAACCCCTTTCATTTTCACACTTATCGTTGGCTCAAGCAGTCCTGCCTGCTACGAAAAAAAAAAAAATTCCCATTCTGAAAACTGGTTTTCGTTAGGCGACTTTGTAGTTTGTTTCTTTGTTTTAAAAAGTCTAGCACTCCATCTTCGCAAGGAAATCCAACTTACCATCCCGTTCTGCAGGCTGAAAATCAAACCAGCTGTTGAATATGAATTACAGAACAAATGTTCAATTAAGTAGCACAAATTTATTTGTAATGTTACAGATACAGCATTGCCAACTTTGTCGTTCTTCCCCTATGTTCACACCCTTGGCGTAAAAAAATAAGAGTTGTATTTTTGATATGTGGGCCTCTTTTCATAGTCATGGAGAGACAAATAGATATTTAAATAATTTGTAGCACATCGATTATGAAATTCTAATAACAACAATGGAATGTATTAACAATTACACTGAAATATTTTACCATTATAAACAAACTCATAAATATAGACGAAGCACTGAAATTAAAGTGGTTTATCCTTAACAATGACAGCTATTTACTATGTATATTAATGGAAAGCTTGTTTCCAATATCAAACGACGAAAAAGGGACATTTAGAAGAACCTATAAATCATTTCTTAATGTGCAAGCATTGTTGTAATAATACACTGACACAAAATTTCAAAATGTATGCATTTAACAATATTAATCTGAGATAAATGGAATTTAGGACAAGACCTAAAGTTAACTAATCAATGTGGCCATATTCCAGGATCTAGGTTATACAAATTACACGCTTCATTGCTGGCATGACCTCCTGTAATACTATTGTCGACGCAATATGAGACCACATCCGGAAGCAACAAATTGTAACATGATTCGGACACAACAGTTCGTTTACCGTTCCGTATCAAATAACCCCATTTCTGCACCTTCTAATATATAGTAGTGTTTAACACATAACATCAGAATGCCACTTTTACAGGTTTTAAAATTTAAATTAACTAAATTCTATTGGACATAATATTACTATTATACGGAGGATAAAATATTTTTGTTTTAATTCTAAACAAGAAAACTCACCTACAGATGTTTATGCTTTCAACATATTTCCATGACATAATGTTGGCTCATAATTTGAGACTAAATTTAACTAATTACAATGTTATTATTCATTTGTATGTCGGGTTTTTTTCCTTGCACGTGAAGAAATGCGATAATTATTTACGAATTTAATCTGTCTACATGTTTTTTTAAAATATTTCTAACACATTTTAAAGTACGGTCGCTTAAACATCTGAAGTGATAGTCCTGATTCTCAGTATTTTAAAATGTAATGATTTTAAATGAAACGATAAACAGTGTTCCGTAGTTAGTAATTTGTTATTTCCAGATATAATATTCATGGAGATATTCTGAAATGTTACAGAATTAAAATTTATTAATACACATATAATAATTCTGCATGTTGATACATAATCCGTAGCCAACAGCTGCGAGCATCACAGTATTTGATTTTCATGAAGGTAATAAGTTATATTAGTATTTGTTCTTACTATTTTGGCATAAGCTGAAATATGCCTCGCGTGGAAAATAAATACGGTGTTCATAGATAGGTTATCACTTTCTAAACCTTCCGCATCCATAATTAATTTGCATATCGAGAGGGCACCCGTCACTTTGCATCTGATCTTAACATTACTGGCTTTGTACGTGGACAGGCAGAATTAAGTACCTACCTAACTCTGCAAAGCGGAGTTTTCTTGAGAAGCTGATAGTCATCTAGAGAGTAAAGAAATTTCCTGTCCTTTACGAAACCGGAATATATATTACCGTCCACTAGACTTTTATCTAGAGCCAGATACATCCAGTCTACACCCTCACACAATATTTTTTCAATACATTTTAATAATATACTATCATCTACGCCTGTGTTTTCGATTTCGTATACTTGCCACTGTCACTGTGTCCACTTCCATGTGATGCGGTAAGTTTATAAATGATTAGTCTGTGATTTCATGCCATTTTTCTTACGAAAAATGTATTTATAACCAAACATCGGATTTAAATAATGTAATTCTTTATACTCACTCGTTTGAACACGCGTGGAACGGGTGATTTTTTTAATGGACGTTTGTGTTAGTTTCACGAAATTAAATAACGAAACAAAGCGCAGAACACTGCTCCCGTGAAATGAGAAAATATATTTCAAAGCATATTTAATTCTGTTTTTAGTTGTGACCTTGGATGTAAGAAGTGTATAAAGGGATTAAAGCTAATTTAATCAACAAACTCCGTGGAGCGCAGTCATTGTTGAGAGAAGTTATCGAGCAGAGTCATTGTTGAGAGAAATTATCGAGCATAGTCATTGTTGAGAGGTTATCGAGCATAGTCATTGTTGAGAGGTTATCGAGCATAGTCATTGTTGAGAGGTTATCGAGCATAGTCATTGTTGAGAGGTTATCGAGCATAGTCATTGTTGAGAGGTTATCGAGCATAGTCATTGTTGAGAGGTTATCGAGCATAGTCATTGTTGAGAGAAGTTATCGAGCAGAGTCATTGTTGAGAGAAGTTATCGAGAAGAGTCTTTGTTGAGAGGTTATCGAGCATAGTCATTGTTGAGAGAAGTTATCGAGCAGAGTCATTGTTGAGAGAGGTTATCTAGCAGAGTCATTGTTGAGAGAAGTTATCGAGCAGAGTCATTGTTGAGAGAAGTTAAAAGTACGCTCAGACAGTCTCTTACGTAACCGTGGACTAATGAACGTGTTCAGAACATCTGTGTATAAATAAGACGGTAATAAAGTAGACCATTCTCAATCTCTGTCAAGTGCTCCTATTTTTAAATAACTTTTTTCTCAATCTGTTCTTCCTAATGGTGCATGAAAATTATTTATACCGAAAATTCGCTAAAGCCCTTCTTTCTCCCGATGAATTTGTTCCCGCTGTTGCAAACACTGATTGAAAATCGCTGATTTGTTGTGGCTTCTCGGTAGAATATTGAAAACGGAAGGGCTGAAGGGAGAATTTAAAAACTCGTTCTGAAAACACCGTCGTCTTCCACGTCATTAGCGAAAGAATATATAAGGATGCCAATTATGCAAATTGGCCATGAAGTGGTTTGCATTGACGTCAATAATTAGTCGATAACTTACAGGCCTATGTGATTGAAACAATTTTTTGTTGTATCGGAGTTGTTTTGAGGAAAAAAGAATTCCAATGCCGAAATTAGTGATTCCGGATGTTGTGAGATTTCGAACATAAAGACAACCGCATTTTTCTGTGTTGAGCTTGTAGTCTGGTAGAAACTTACAGACGTTTCGGAGATAGCGAGCACTTCTAAATCATCAGGAAGTATCTCCTAGGCTACACGGCGCAACATCCCAAAATACATTTACCCTTTTTCGATAATTTTGATCCAGCTCTTTTGGGAGCTATCATTCGGTGGAAGTGGACTGTGTGACCGACGTTTCGGAGGAACATACTACCTCTATTTTCGGAAGTTTACACGGAGCTACAACCCTTAAGAAGATAAACATCGAGAGGTTACGACGGTGTTGATTGGATTCGTCTGGCTCAGGACAGGACTAGAGGCTGGTTCTTATGAACGTGGTAATAAATCATGAGTCTATAAAAGAATCATTTTAAAGAATATTATCTTTTTAACCCTTTATAGCCGAAACTCCCCCTATTAATATTTAAATATTAATTCATATCTAAAAAAGAAGCAACCATTTCAAATCAACTGATTGGATCTGTTTAAGGAATTGGTTTTTTACTCTGATAACCACATTAAACCGATAACATGTATAATTACTAAAACAGGTGTTAGTTACCGTTAGGTTTTAAAGGCTTAATAAATCTGCCCCATGGAGTTAATTAACTTCCTTAAAACTTACTTTCAACAGAAACGGATTACATCGAAGTGAGTACCTTCAAAACACTTCACACCAATTTAATATTCTAGATGTCTCTTCTACTGACGTCTTCGACTTAAAATTGGATTAGGGATTTATCAGAACACGTAACAAGGAAGTAGTGCATTGTCAATCTCAGTAACTTTCATCTAAATCAAGAGACGAACATTTGACTTTTGGAAAGATTTGATGCTCTCAAAGTGACGAGTATAAAGTTGGCTGTCTTATGGGATACAACATCAGGAACTTTAGTGGATATTTACGGACGTTTCAGAGGTGCTTACTGCCTACAGCATCATCACTGGAGGCAGTAAGTACCTCCGAAACGTCGGGCAGTATCTACCACACTTCACGACGCAATACCACAGAAATGAGACCAACAATATACGGAAAAGGGAACATATTTATATTCATATTTACATCAAAAGCTTTTATGTGCTTAGGTTCAGTGTTCTGCAATTTTTAGCCTGATGTTTTTGAGAAGGGTAGTGATTGAGTCGAATATGCAACGCAGACAGGAAGGAACATGAGAATAGAGAAAATGTAGTAATTTTCAGTTTAAACAGCGATTAATTCCTTAAACAGCGTTAACCATCTTGATCTTCGTAATGGTAAAGTGTTGTGTTTTCTTCGCGGTACGGACTGAATTATTAAAAATTATTTAGACGAGCTTCGGGCTTCAAAGAGTTAAACATCATAAACAATCCTCCGATATGAATACCAACTGTAATTTTAAAATAATTTATGTCTGGTATTAAATTAAATATTACGTCAGCGCCTGCTGACACATTCGGCCATGTTGCACCAGATGGCAGCATGACGAAACAATAAACATATTCTCCTCCAAATTAATCCTAAAATCGATTATCGACGTTTATAGCTTTGACTTTGCCCTCGTTTCCACCCTCCGCAAAGCTTGTTTCGACACAGAGATCAGTTGTGCATCTGGTATGAAATTCAACTTCCAATGTCAATCGAGTGATTGGATTTTACATTCAGCTTTGTGGTCGATTCAGATCCAATTTCAGGCAGATACAAACTAAACACAAAATATTACGCTCCATTGAACGACGTTTAACAAACAAACAAACAAACACACACGCACACATACATACATAAATGTCCTACAGGTTGTACGTCTATGTATGTCCTATAACTTAGAAAAACGATAAACCTCCCGGTCCAGCGGGGGGGAATTATTTATCCGTTACATAAAATCCACTTCACGAAGCAATACACTCAGCTTAATTAATAATACGAAGCGTCATCCTTGCAGATTAATCAAGAGTCTGTTGTTTCTCATTTAAATCCGATTTACATAAAATCTATTAAATCACAAGCCAGGAAAAACAGATGCATTTTAAACAAAAGTATATTAAAAAAAAAAGAATAACAAAGCCTATTTGAACTTCATCCTCTTTTGAAAGACGAACACAGCGAGTTTTAATACAGCAGAAATTTAATTTTTAATGTAAAAATTTGTTGTTTAATTAATTTTTTTTTGTTTCCATATATTGTCCCGCATGGTAAAAATCTGTGTTTTACCTTCCTCATTCAACTTGTTAAAAAGTGGTTTCCTTCTTTACCTACCAAATTTACGGGATGATGTACGTTGTTACGCGAGCGGACTCTCGAAATTTCCCAGTTCTCGAAATGCAAATGTTTTTTTTTAAGTACGTAATCACACAAGATGTGTTTTGATTGTAACGCTATGGACGTTTCGGCTTCTGACTGAAATTAATACTGTGACTGTACGTTTTTTCCATAGCAGTTCGGGTCAGTTAAAGCTGTGATGAGAGTGGAATTCGGTGTTATGACACCGTGCATTCACGTTAGTGGTCACCAGCGGTTTGAGGTATATCTGCTGCCATCATCTTCAGGGTAGACACCTACCTTAAAATCGAGGCAGCATCACAACCCAGAGGACCTCGTTATAAATTTTCTGCGCTGTGAAGACTGTGATCTATTTGACTAGAATGTGCGAAATCTCGTCTGATCACGTAAACTGGTGATCAAGATTCGCGATGTGTACACGTAAAATACTTTTTCCTGTACCACAGGTAACATTCACAATTGCCGAACCGCTCAGAGTGACTTACTGTACGCCGTCGAACACTTAAAAGTCGCATTTCGGTATCCGAAACGCTGGTCTATAAAACCTCGATTTAAAACTAGATTTGAGTCTGCTTTTGACCGTTCTTGGAGGCGGGACTGGCGACGCGGGTTCCAGCGGGGGCGGCGTCACCTCCTCGTCCTCCACCGCCGCCAGCCTCCTCAGCTTATGACGCTGACGTTTCGGTCTGGACGGCGGGCCGTAGCTGCCCGTGCTGATACTGCTACTACTGGATTGGCTACGGTTGAATGACGTCATGTCCGGCACGACGCCACTGTCAACCGTCACGTCGCTCAAGTTCGAGTCCTGACGAACCGTCCGGTCGCTGTGACTGGAGTCCTGACGGGTCACCGGCACGCAGTTCTCCTGCGACGCCGAGAGGGGGGCAAATCGCTCCAACGACGTCTCCTGGAACTGTTACGAACACCAGGTAAAAACTCCGTAACCTAACCCAGTCCACCACGTGAGGATATGTGGTGTGTTGTTCTGTTGTGTCTTATTGTTTTTGTTGTCTCATGTTTTTTTGTGTCTTATTGTTTTTGTTGCGTCTCATTGTTCTGTTGTGTCTTATTGTTTTTGTTGTGTCTTATGTTTTTTTGTGTCTTATT